GGTTACCTCATCTGGAGTTAGCTCAGGAACCCAAGTGATCTTGCTGCAGCAGCTGGGGAATTGCCATCTATTTTGTGATACGACTGCCAAGCAGGCTGTTTCTCAGCATAGGCTGATGCCTGCTGGTCTGTCTAAGTGCAGTGCTGCAGTGAATGAAGCTAACAGTCATGGACAGACAAAGTATTATATGCAGAATCTCAGTAGTACCTCAACTGCAATCTACTGTAGAACTTGCTTTAGCAGGGGGGTTGGACTAGATGATCCACAGAGGTCCCTTCCAACTCCTGCAATTCTGTGATTTTGTACTGTGTTACAGCACAGTGTGCCATATTCTGTTTGGGCCATGTCACTAGACGTTATGAGAAATGGATAGAAGCACTTGTCTTTATACAGTATAACCTATATTTACAGATTTCTACTCATGCCTACACATAAGGGCTTTCATACATCTAAGAAAACTATTTTTGCTTTTGTCTATGATTTATTTTCCCTTGAACCTGTTCCTTAACTCTTACAACCACTAATGGAAAAACAGCTTAGATATCCTGGGGGAAAAACATGTCAAACACCAAGGTAAAACATTTCCAGGCTGATGAAGCTCTGTAAAAATGAAGAGACAGCCTATGAATAGGTGCATGAATGTATTTTTCTGGCTAGTCCTGTACATTTCTGCTGCTCCTTGAATGCACTTCCTCCAATCAAATGGAAGAGTAAATTCAGCTCGGAGGGTCTGCTGATTTCTCTTTTCATTGGAGCAGTGTATATCTAGAGCAGTTTATAAATAACTCCACAACACTTGGGATGAGTTATAGTGCCAGTCTTCAAAGACTATTCATTACTGCTTTATAAGATATCAAGAATTGTATTTTTAGGCAATTGTGTCACAATTAGCCTCGGAAGGGAGACGGTTACGACTAAGCTATGCTGACAAATAAATTCATGACAACTTCTTCTGGACATTCATTACTGGCAATGTCAACGCATGCATTTACTGCAGATTTTTCTACTGTAGTGTATCTGTTGTATGATAATGGAGAATTTAGGAAATTCATTTGCTCTTAAAAATTGCCACTAGATTTGGCTGACCTGTATGTATATAGTCTATTCTACAAACAAAATGAGAATTCTGCAGAACTCAAAAGACAAAATGTTATTTGTCATTTGCTACAGCTATGGTCTATATACACTGCCATGCCTCCACAGAGTCTTTCCATGCAGGGTCAATTCCTGTTTGCCTTCCTCATGCCATCAGTCCCAGCAGCATGCACCTGCTTTAAGAGAAGTCAGAATTTATAGTGGACTGTAAAATTCTGATGGATTTGCTTCCTAGCAGGATTATGCCTGCAGGTCACAGTGGAACCATTCACATAAAGCTTGCCTAAAATATATGAGTCAAAATAAAATAAATGCAAAAAGATACAATATTGCTCCTGACTACCCACAGACAATGAGACCTTCCAATCCTGAGATAATTGTATTTCTAATTTAAAAGATGAGATAAGGGAAAACTGTAAAGCTGAGAGAGAATTTTAGGCAAAAGATTTATAAATCCAACAGATTTTTTTTTTCCCAATAAGAACCATCATATTAGCAATTAGTGCAAGTATCCCTTTCCAATCTCATGAAAAAAACAACACTACTTAAAAATTCAGCATGAGAACCTGCCTACTCATGAACTCCTGCCCTCATATCACGAGATTTTAAGAATTGCATCACTTGGATTCATTCTATAAGCCAGTCATTTGCAGCAGGCTGGTCCTCCAAAGCTTGTGAGAAGACTCCAGCCTGCGTACATTCAAGATTGCTCTGCAAGAAAAAGAGCTAGTAGCTTCTCCTTTAATTGAAAGGTAAAAATCTCATGTAATCCTGTGATTCCAGAAGCTTAGACAACATGGAGAAATAATTAGGGAAGAAACTGAAATCACAAGTGACAACACAAACATGTTAAAGAGTGTTCTCAAATTGTGAAGTATGGAAAACATTCAAACCTCTTTGTGAAGTGAATGCTGCTGAACACTTGAACTTGTCAAGCCCTCAAGTACTCAGAGAAAATTAATATACTCGATGAGAAAACAAATTCCTACAGAGAGTGAAGGAAGCGTGAAGTAACGGAATTAATGGTATGATGTAAATCTTTCAATATACAATGAATAAGTAAAAAAAAAACCCAAAACATCAAAATACTGGATCACAATCCCTATTTTGGCAGCACTATCGCTGAGTTACACTGTTATTTTGATGTAGTTTTTGGGGCAGCACAAACATGCAATGCTACAACTGATTCTCAAAGAGGGGAGGGAACAGTTAAAATAGCTCCTCATCAAAGTCTGATTTGTCACGTAGGCAATGAATATTTCTGCTGGAAATTCACTTGTTTTCTCTTTTACAGCCATGGCATATCTAGGTCTACCTCAGATTAGAAACATTAACTATTCTGGGTGCGATTCCTTTGTTAGTTCAGGGAATATCTCTAATGCCTGTGTAATCGAGGGCATCCTGAGAGTAGTTGCAATGAACTTAAAGAAGCGTAACAACAAATATATCAAAAACAGGTCTGACAACTTAAGATAATAGTAAATGAATGTTAGTGGGACACCACTGTGCTATCTTGTAAACTCTCTCATCTTCTTGCTGGTTAATTTTTCTGCCATGAAGCACGTCTAACAAAGGCAGGCTTTAACCTACTTTATATTCATAACGATTCATGCAAATTTACCTCTTTTTGAGGCAGGGGGTCAAGTGTTTCAAGTTCATTCTGCAGTAAGGAATATCTGCATAGACTTTTGCAGTATAATAATGAGAGGTTTTGCAGAGACATTGAAAATCTAGACCCTCAAAAATAGACAAAGCATTTGTGGATGAAACCCTGCACTAGCATATCAAACTCAGAACACGGTATCTGATAAGGATGATCAGTACATTTTCAAATTTAATATTTACCCTCCCATCATGCGTCTTTTTTTTTTTTTTTAAGGTGGGGTTCAGCACTGAAGTGATACAACAGCTTGTGCTGGGGACAAAGACAGTGCCGGCACCACAAGAGCTACGGCTCTGGCAAGGGACTTCAATATAAATTTGCTACACATCTATTTTTTCCAAATATAAGGCTTTGCTGGCTGGCAGCCAATCATGCAGGAATTGCCAACCGCTCTGTACATCGAGCAATTATAATTCTCTGTGCAGTGCCACTAGACCACCTGCACATTCATGTGGGATGCGAGTCATATCGAACCCAGCTCTCAGGAGATGAATGCTATTTGGTATCAAACTCTTCTTCGTTATCTTTTATCATCAGTAAGGAACAGCATTTATAATTGTGCCTAACAGACAGCTCAGCATAGAGAAAGCCAGCAGCTGGACCTAGTGATGTGAAATGCAGAGTTGATGCTATGTTCATTTTTGGAGGAGAATAAAACACAACTATACAAAGCTTCCATTTCCATGCATCATGCTTTTGTCAGCACCCTGTTGGAGCTAGAAGTGCATAATGCTTTGTGTTGATATAGATATTGAAAACATCAAATTCTGTTTCAAATAATGTTGCCAACATTTCCATGGGAGCATATTTGTAATTTGTGACTAATCAATTAAATCAGATTCATTAATAGAAGGTTTTACTTAAAAAAAAAAAAAAAAACCTAAAAAATAAAAATGTAATGATGTCACATGAGTCATCGTTTTCTCTTAAGAATCAAAAGTCCACGACCAGAAATGAGGGGAAAAACAGCTCCACCATTGCTTAGATGGGTGGCTAGGACCATTAGCAGGTGCCTTACTGTGTCAAAATGTAATATAGAAAACTATGAAAGAACCTAATAGTCCTTTATGCTTTATCCTAGTGTGTTTCCATAAGTGGAAATTTCTATGAAATGTGCCTGCTTTTAACCAGGTGATATACAAATAATTGCATGGTGGTTTACTGAAAATGAATGAGTCACTTTGTAAACTTCCCTTCTAAGAGTCAACACTCAGAACCACACGTACTTCAACACAGAGTAGCACAACCTCAATTTCTGTCTGGGCTTAATGGCAAAGTAACATTGCATAGCAACCAACTGTTTCCTATTGGAGGAACGAAGCCTTGACAAATGCCCTGGCTCCTGGAGATACACCTCTGTCAGCTCGCTTAGTGCAATACTCAGCATCCAGTCACAAGAACAGAACAGACTTCTCAGGGTTAAAGAGAGGAGGTCTCTCTGCTAACTACACTCCATGTGTCATCTCTTTGCAATAATGTGAAATACCATTTTTGACATAGGAGTTCAAAACTAATTTCCATCAGAAAGCACATTGCAACAACCGTATCACATGTACACTTTTTAAAATACTGGTCATAATCTGGTCATTTTCTTAGTCATAACCAGCTATACATAACGTAAATAATTTGAAGCAAAAGATCATTTTAGTGCAAAACTCTCTAACGGTTTCTGCAATAGTGGGCAATGGCATGGCTTAAATGAGCAGCAGGGAACCAGGCAGGAGAAACACCATAGCAGCGCAGAGACCAAGTGATGCCTGGATGAGCATCATTCCCCATATTCTCCCAGCAGATCCGCTCCAGCTTCTGGAGCGCTGGGGAAGCGCTGGCGTTGGCATTTCCCGTCTGCCCGAGTCCTGGCACCGTTCAGCAGCGCTGGGGCTAGGCAGCACTTCCCTGCCCGCAGCAGGTGAGCGAGGGCAGGCGGCAGCACAGGAGCTCTGCACCGCAGCCGTAGCGGTGCGGGTAGGGCCGGGCTGGGGCCGCCCGCGGACGGAGCAGCTCTGGGCGCACAGAGCGCGGCTCCTCTGGAAAGGGAAAGCACTAGCAGCGAACAGAGGGTGCAGAGCTCCTGCTTTGCGAGGAACGTGTCGTTTTAAGCACATGCACACAAGAAGGAAATAAAATACAAAAACAGGACGGCGTGGCTCTCGTGCAAAATGAAAAGCTTGCTACGCGATTTCATTACAGAAAAAGGACAACAATAAGGACAAGTACTCAGGTAAAGAGAACAACTTCTGACCTTGAAATTGCGTGCTAAATAAATTACCTCAGAGCGAAAGTGGTGCGTTCTCATGACAGCATCTGTAAGGAAGCAGAGGTCAGGGCTGCGCTCGGGCCGCCGCTCCCCGCCCACCCCACCCCCCCCCCACCCGCCATTATAATTAATTCACCCCCAGAAGTTAGGCGCGAAGTTGCGCGGCGCCCCGGGGGCCGCCGGCCCCTCACCCCCTCCCGCCGCGTTACACGGGGATGGGCGGCGACGCGGCTGCCGCAGTCCCGGGCCCTCCGCGCTGCGCCGCCGGGCCGCTGCCCGCCTCCTCACCTCGGCTCCGCGAGCGGCCCGAGAAGACGGATTTGATGGGGTGCCTGCCCTTCTGCAGCCTGCGGTGCCAGCAGCAGAAGAATAGAATGGTGGCGATGGTGCCCAGCAGCAGCAGGAGCAAGAAGAGGGCGCACTGGATGCTGTAGGGTCTCAGCAGGACCAGGAACGCCGCCGCGATCATGGCTCAGCTGTGCGGCTGCCGCCGTGCGAGCGCAACGGTGAGGGGAGCCGGGCAGCCTCTCCCCCCGGCAGCGGGGCGGGCATCGCTGCCGGCCCTGCGCTGCTGGAGCCGGCGGGAGGCGGGGGTGGAGGAGGAGGAGGAGGAGGTGGAGGAGGAGGAGGAGGAAGAGGAGGAGGAGGAGCGGGCGGCTCGGGGCTGTGACTCAGCAGCGGCAGCGGTTGCGGTGGGGTTTCCCTCCGCGCGACTCTGAGGAGCGGGCGCGGCGCGCTGGGCGCCCGCGGGCACCGGCGGGTGGGGCGTGCCCCGCATGGCAGCCGGGGGAGGAGGAGGGGAAGAGGAGGAGGAGGAGGAGGAGGAAGAGCCCCGCGGGGGGTGCGCGGTCGCCGGTGACATCACGCGCGGAGCTGCTGCAGAGGGAGGCGGAAAATGGCTGCTGCCAGGTACCCCTGGGCAGGAGCGGGAGGGAACGGTCCAGGTGCCGGCGGGTGCGGGAGGCGAAGCGGCGAGAAGGGCGGGAGGGGAGATGAGCGCCTGGTTCCGAGCCGCGATTTGTGCCGCAGCACTCTGCGCCCAGGGCGAGCGGGACCGACCGGGCGGCTGTCAGCGCCTTCGCGGGGCGCTGAGGGAACGCCGTTTTATACCGCGTTGCTGCACTCAAAGGCGATTCCCGTGCTGAACGCGTATCCGTCTTGGGTGTGAGCACCAGAGGAAGGATTCTGCCCAGGGAGGTTGTGTAGTCTCCTTCTGTGGAGTTGTTCAAGACCCGCCTGGACACCTACTTGTGCGACCTGGTGTAGGGAACCTGCTTTGGCAGGGTGTTGGACTGGATGATCTCTGGAGGTCCCTTCCAACCCCCTACCATTCTGTGATTTTGGAACTTTATAGGATAAAGAATGGATCTCCGTGTGGGTGTCGGAGTGATGCTGAGGTGTCACCGCGAAAGCGTGCAGCCGCATCCAGCCTGCAGAAGGTAGAGCAGGAAGGACAGGCAAGAGGGAAGCAGGCTGTGGTGGCTGAAATCAGAAGGGAAAATGTGATCGTTATTGTGCAAAATGCCCTTTATCGCTGAGCAAAAGGCGTTGTTACTCCTTAATGTCAGGGAAAACCGCTTTCAGTGGGAAATTCCTGACGCCTGCTGTGGTAGCCGGTAGAAGTAATATCTTGACCGTTAGGTCTACGCTATTTTTCCTCAGGAATTTTATATCGTTTCATAGCATACAGCAGTTTCTCTCCACAAAATATCACTCTGTCGCCTGGCTTCTTAACGCGGGCGGTTGCAATCCGGCAGCCTTTGATGTAAAGCTTCCCTCACTCGCTGGGAGCTGACAAACGGCGCGGGGCTGTGTTGTGTCACGTGACGGCACGCCGAAATCCCCCACTACCGCAGTACGCTGCAGCACGGCTTTAATGCGGATTACCTGGAGATCGCCGTACCGCCCCGTGTCACCCGGCTGCAGCGCGAGGTGAAGCGCTGTGACGTCCCCAGCCTTGCTGCAGTACCTTGCAGGAACTTCTCAGCACCTGATTTATATTGTTTTATAATGCGATATTCTGGGAAGCACAGCACAAAGGTGACTGCCCAGTAAGTTGCAGAGAACTCACGCTTGACCGCTGACAAATCTGTAATGCTAGGCTGCTGCTTAAAGTTTGCAGCTTTTCCTGTCTAAGCCCTAGAGCACATTCATGTCCTGAAGATAACATTTTGCCGAGAAGCTATGATAAATTACATGGCAGCAGCTTAATTTTGTTCATATTCAGGATAGAATTCTGTCTGGTACAAGAAATGCTGATGCATGGCTTGTTCAAAGAGCCACTGCTCCAGGCTTTGGAGCTTACGTTCTCATGCACGCCACACTGCTGCTATGGCTTTCCTTATGCTTATTATTGATGTCACTTTGTTAAATAATGTGGGATTGCAGTGCGTGGTTAAAATGTTGTTTTCGTAGTGAAGTTTGATGTAGTAGCAAATTAAGTTTGAAGTTTGGGTTTTGGTATTAAAAATAAGCAAGCTAAGTGGCTAGATTATTCCAAATAGTAATTAAGACAAATTGCAGTAATTCTTTGAGATATAGTGTTTTTTAATATGAACTTCTTTTCAGAATGTTTTTCAGGGAATATTTCATAAATCTTAAGAATGACAAGCAGAGAAGAGAAAAGGAATGAGGAGAGAAGGTTAAAGGAAGCTGTTGGCTCCCACCTGAGATTTGACCTCAGAAGGAGAATCCTGGAGGTGAACAGGAGGTGACTCAGACAAGAAGTGAAAGAAGGTAACCAAATTTTAAGGCTGACTGTGGAAAGAGCAGATCAGAACAGAGATCTGAGTTGTTGAGAGGCTGAGGCAAATCTGATGAGGTCTTACAAATCTGGAACATAGACCCTGCAGTAAGTACAGGGTTCTGCTATTTCAAGATATGCATGATTCGGCTGTACTTTCGCAGTGATATGAGATAGTGGGAGGCAGCATCCTGTGATGCTTGTTTCAATAGGACCCACAGAGCAACTGAGCAGCCGCAAAGTCACAGCCATAGCTGAAGTTTGCAGAAGGAGGCTTGGAAGCAACCTTTTGCTTTAGCAATGCTGAGGGAGGAAGCAGCGAGATGTGCGTGGGCAAGAGGGAGGGGAAGGGAATGTTCTGCTTCACAGGCTCCACTGAAAAGAAGTGACTTGCAAATATTTGCAGTGAAAAGGGACAGCATAGTACAGGATAATGTTTCTTAGGTTGCAGTCATTCGAGGCAGCTGCTTACCTATTTTTAAAAGCTGTGGGAAGCACGAGAGCAGCAAGCTGTACATTCGAGTTCTCCAGTTTAATGGAAGAATTGAGCAGGGAATGTGATGCAACAACAGCCCTCTTCCTGTCGGGAAGAAGTCAGTGTTGACCTAAAATATTTTTCCACTCTGTATCTCACAGAATCCTGTTCTGACTTAGCAGTCTTGCCTAGCAGGGCTGAAGACAGGGATCCTTTCTTCCCTCCTATATGCCCGCATATCCTATATGCGGAATTGCAGCGCAGTCTGCTGAGTAGAGCATAGGTTCAGCAGCTCTTAAAAAGAAACTAAGAATCATACCTGAGTACAAGGGGTTGGACTATAAGGAGAAAACAAATTGGAAAAAAAACCCAGTTGAAAATATCATAGCATTTCAGGTGGGGAAACTGCATGAACAAAGATCTGCTGACCTCCTGCAGTGTGAGTTGTGGCATTCAAGGGGACTCAGCAGTCTGAGAAGGCATCACTGCTCCTACTGCTTCGGGCCTTGTGGATTTCATTTGACAATTGCAAGGCTCTCTGTATCAACAAGCTGAAAGAAGAAAGTCACATGGTAGATCTGGTGATGCAGACATAAGAATAGGAGATGACGTGATAATATTTCAGAAGAGTAAATTTTTAGCTGAGAAAATAAGTGAAAGGATAAGATCATTTCCTTTTTCTATTCTGTCCTCTTCAAGAACTGTGTTTCTACTAATTAATTATAATTAAGTGAAGTATTCTGCTTAAATAACAACTGGTTAGAAGGATTCTCTAATCATGTAATACTTCCTAACAAAATATGTAGTAATTTTCTAATCAAGTAGGAACCCAGAAGCAACATAAGTAAATATGGAAAATATCATACTGTGTGTATTAACAACTTCATTCAAAGGCATGATTGACCTTTTCCCCTCAAAATTGTTCCTCAGGGGTCACACACTGACTTCAGTTTGCTCTCTAGCAATTTAAGTATGATGTATGAGTGTATGTTGCAAGGACTTCTGGTAGAGGATTAAACCTTCTAAAATACATTCTTCAGCTGAAAGAATATCAATCTTTATCTTGATAAAAGCATCAGGTTTCAACAATTTGTTATGTGAAATGATATGTTCTAAATTCAGCAAAGCTATTGAAAATCTTCATTCTGCTGAACTGATTAAATTTTTTGCTCCATACAGGGCTTTGTATGTTTGGTCAGCATATTACTGCTATTTAATTCTAGCACTATCCTTGAAATTGAAGTACATATTATTATTTTGAATCATTTGAAAAGAGAAGCTGAAGTGTAAAGGTTACACGATCCACTCAGGACAAAGTGGTTTAATTGAAGTGCTGCAGAACAGTCCCCGGACATGACTGGGAAATTTTGCAGTCAGGTGATGGTGGAAAACCAAGTTCCTGCCTCCTTAATATATGCAGAGGTAATTGTCCTCGTTGTGTGAGCTGATGAACCTTCAGAACTTGCTGTTTTATATTTCTGTTTATTGGACTGGATGTAATCACATGGCATAGGAGCCATGCCGCTGTCGACTCGCAGCATAGAGCATTGCTGGGAAAATGCTGGCAGGAATTCTGTGGGCAAAGATCGACTTTGCCAATAGATGGCTGATTTTGAGCCTAGATAGAAATGTATGTAAAGCTCCTACAGCTTTTTTTTTTTTTTCCTATTACAGCACTGGTATGCCCTTATGTCCTTGGTTAAAATTTGTTCCCTGTTCATTTTTGGCAGTGTCTAATGTAGCAGTTGTCAATTTGAATATGGTATTGCATCCCAGAGGGAATTGCTCTGTATTAGTATTATGTTGCTTAAGGATTGCTTCAGGCCAGTATTGGTCTGTCAGCTATTCTATTAATTTATAAAAGTAAGTTAAACTGTGAATGCTAAGATGACATTTAATTTTACAGGAGAAGAAAAAATGGGTATAATAAGGTTTAAGCTTTTTTTGTTCTCTCAGGGGAATACCTTTCTGTAAGTTCTCCTAAGTGCATACAGAACTTCTCTTGGTTGCATTAATATTCCCTGAAGTAATTGGACAACATATATGTCTCCTGTTCTAGCTCATGACCTTTAATAGCAATAAGGATTTGTTTAATTTTTCTTTTTAACTGGATAGCATCAAGTTCATTCCTCCCCACTGATACACAGTGAAACCAGAGCAATGGAGAAAGATCTTTGGAGTAAAAGAGTGTCATTTAGGCATGACTTCTAGTCTATTATCACTCTCCTATGGCAGCCAATGAAGACATATGAGTAGAGATAGTTAAAATGCCACTGGATTATTACATACTGACCAGAGATCAAGTATGGAATTTCTAGCCGCTGTTTCACTTCTATGCTCTTGTAGTTGAATGGATAGTGTTTCCCATGGCAATGCTTTGGGGCAGCACAGTTTATCAGAATATATGATAGATTATGCTACCAAAAAGACTAAGATGCCTCCTCTTACAAACTCTCACACCAGTTTGCTAGTGAGTTTGAACACTGCAATAGTTGCATATGGAAAGTACTTCTGATACTTTTTCAGCCTTTTATTTCAGCCTTTCTTTCTCTGGAGTGTGTTAAGGAAATAGCATTTGGCTGTTACACACAGCAAGTGCACAGATTTTGCACCTCAGCACAATTTGCATCTGATCAAACTTTCCCTGACTGAACAACTTCAATAACTGAAGCTTAGAGAGCAATTCTCTTGTTTTTTACATTTAGTGCCACTTGAGATGCCTGGAATTAGCAACCATCCTTATACGCATGGAAGAGGGGCTTGGCCCTATGTACTACGCTAAGAAAGGGTAGTTGGAAGCTGGCATAACAATGTTGGAATCTAAGATAGCTCCATGCATTTATTTTTAGGCAACTTTATTGGGCTTTTGAGCATTTGAAATAAGCTGAATTTCTCTCCCTGTGGCTTTGGTTGAATTCAGTAGGGGCTTGGCTCTTTTGAGTGATGGAGGTGCTCCAGGCTGAGGCATTGCATAGGTAGTTGTGATTAGAGACCTGCACTTCTGAAGTAGTAGCTGAAGACCAAGCACACCACCACAGAGCACTGGCACTGGTCACCTACATTTGGACAGCCAAACTGATCCCTAGTTCTCCCTCCAGTGATTACAATGATAACTTAGATGCTTAGTACACCAGTGACACCTCAATCATAATCTAGAACTAAATCTCATCCTTAAAGCCTAAAAATAATGCCAAATTGCTATCTTTAAATCTACTTAAGTGAACACTATTTTTCACTATTAGCTGAGTAAGTTATTAGAACAAAAGTTAGGTACTCCAAGAGGTATTAAATATATCTGCTTGATGAATTCATTATTCTTCCTTTACTGTCACTCGGTATTGCACAACAGAAGTATGCAATTTGATGCAGAAATTAGACCATCTCCAATAACTTTCTTCAAACTTGTAATTTTAGCCACAGTCCTGCAAAGATCTTTGCCATATTTGTGTATTGATGTTATTTTATAGACCTTCTATAAAATAGGTTTTAGGTTGCTAAAACTGTCAGCATGAAGGACGCTGCCTTGAAAAAGAATAATTGTTTTGTGACGTCCATGGGCCAAACACATGGAGTTTAGCAAGTAGGACAAGATACAGGCCAAATTCTGTATGTAACTGTGTGGATTCCAAATGCTACGGTGACTTTGAAGTCAGTGAGACGCTCTGTGTAAATAAGGCTAGGTGATGTTGTTTAACTATGAATAGCATCGCTTCTTAAAAAGTATCTGTGATCACAGATTATTGTGAGGCTAGTTGTGCCAGGGTAATAATCTACAGCCAGTAGGTGAGCTGCTATAGTAAGAACCACATTGTTTTATCTCTCCTGTCAGTGGAAGACAGGTGCATGGTATAGTACAAGACTGTACTATATATCTGTACTTTTAAGTCATGCTTTCCCATAAAATGACTAAGATATTACACAGAAAATATTTAGAACAATAACAATGCTTCAGTATTCTAACACTGTCTAATTCCGTTGAAATCATAAGTCAATCTTCCTTTGGTTTTAGGGTAGTTAGATTAGAAGCTGCAGAAGGTCATATAATGTATTTAAATAGGGTTATATTTTCCATCATAAATTTGTTAAAGAGAACCAGGAATTCTGCTACTTTAGTGCAGGCCAGAAGTCTCATGTCAACAGTGTGCTTAATGTCCTGACAATTTCAGTGTAAAATGCTTTCATCAAAATAACTCCGACCAAGTCTGATGCTGCTATTTGTTGTGCTGAAGTGATTTAAATAGTGAGATAAATGAATTGCTAGTCCAGTAAATGTTTGGGGGTTTGTTTGTTTGTTTTCGTGGTTGGGTGGTTTTGAATTTTGGAGATTTTGTTGTTATTGTTTTGGGGTTTTTTTGTTCCTCTTTTCTCTCCTCCCCCTGAAAAACTGGGATTAACAATGGCTGAATGTAGAGGGTAAACCATATAAAATGCTAGCACTTTATTAGGAGACTGTGCTTACACAATTGCAGTACAGTTTCTTGTTTTGCTGAAATTGGTGTTAAAGCTCTATTTTAAGCCACAGTAAAATCAGACCCATCGAGTAGGCCTACAATCTCATGTTGTAAATGTGTCATACTTTACACTGCGTTACTGAAAGGAAAGAGAAATAATGATCTCAGCATGCCATCTGCCAACTCAATCTGAATGGAACAGAGTATGTCAGTCAAAGGGTGAGATATGTCTTTAAATGACTTCTGTGGGGATTTTTGTTGTTGTTCTGTCTTTTGGGGTTGCTTAGTAACAGTATTCTGTGTGCAAATTTGTAGCATCTGTGCAGAATGCAAGATGTTAACACGTTTGTTAAAATTAAGTCCAGTTAACGTTTCCTCTGCAGAGCTTTACAATTAAATGGCTTCTTCTGTATTTTTTTCCCTCTACAAATCACTTTATTTTAGAAAAAGATGTGTCTTTGGACAGCGTCACATCGTAAGTTAACATTTCAGTACTTCTCAAATAAGTAGCCAGTGTTTTCAAATGGGGAAGACAGCAGAATTAAGCAACTTGAACACAAGCAGCTTTGAGAAGCTGTGTAATTCTGTCTCTGTGGTCAGGAGCTGCACTCTGGGAAATGTCTGTGAACAGTTATGTGTCTTCCAATCAAACCACTGAATAAAGCACTTACAGTCCAAAATCTTACTCGATGACTTGCAGAACTGTGTAGGAAAGATTTAAAACAGAGAACCAATCAGATACACTTTAGCAGACTTCATCCTTTTAGCTTCATATAGCATGAGGTCAACTGGAATCTATCCCGCAGCTTCAAATTAATATAGAGTGGGTTCGAGTGTGCCAACTTCTAGAAAGACACAGCTTAGCCCCATATGGTCACTGAATGATAGTCAGTGGAGAGAGAAACAGGCTCTCACAGACAGTAGGTCATCTGCTCTCTGAGATGCATATTTTAGGGTGAGATGAATCACCTCTCTTTCTGCAGAGGTGGGGAGAGCCAGGGTGACTAGACAACCTCTCATTTTTAAGGCTAGTGAAAGTAAAATCAATCTTGCTCCACATTATTTCTATTTTTTGTGGTGATACAGTGTATTTCACCTTTGGTCTGTTTTGGCAAAGAAAATGTTTTACAGAGAGGCATCTGCAGTCCTTAGACAAGTGAGAGGGCAGTTGAGAAAATGCTGCTGGACTTCTCTTCCAGTAAGTGAAATATTTTTCTGTTCCTTTTCTTCATTAGGGACATTTTGTTCTACCTTTCCATTCTCTTTAATCACAGGCTGGAGATGATGCCAGCAGACAGTTAGATATTATCCCCAGGGTCTCTGAGTTGTCGTAATAAATTCTGTGAAAATATATACTTTGATTAATGTGTACTGAGGGAGCCGAGGCCAACCTTCAATAACAGAAAAATGCTAACACTAACTATTGCACTCTGTTCCTTTTATTTGGCAATATAATAGTTCTGTCATTTTGTATGTAATGTAGGCAGCTAAGCTGATGCCTGGAGGAGCTGCAGCAAAGGAGAGGCACCTGGCCAGCCTCTGCTGTTCCCTTGAACTGCCCTCCTGCTTTAGCATTCTCAAAGCAGCAGAAGTAGCAGGACTGAGTGCAATTCCTCATAAAGCTGCCAAGAAGCTTTCTGATTCCTTGCAAGAGCTAAGGGAATGGATATGTCTCATTTCTGCTCCCATGACTCCGTGAAATCTATTCCTAATTTCTCTCTGAATCCAATGTAGCTTATATTTTAACTTGGCAGCTGTTAAGATGCGTAGTGAAATCAGTTTCTCTGTTTACTAGTACACCCTCCCACCATAGGCAAGAATCTTGACAGCTCGAAAAAGCTTTATAGATGATTTAGACAAATTACTGAGCTCTGAGCCCTGCAGTGTTCATGGTGAAAATTCTCCCTAGCTTTGACGAGCAGATTGGATTTGTCAGCACTTCCTGTTTGTCCTGCCGTCTTGTCTTGGGGCTCTTTTCATGGATCCAGGTGTATAAGACCCATGCATATCTCTTTCATTTTACCACAGCTGCCCCAAGCAACATCTGTGGGCTCTGAACATCCAGAAATCCACATAACAATTGATTTTACTGAGCTTCAGAACTCTGGGCAATCATCACTGATCTTTCAGGATTTGAATCACATGTGCATTCAGTGCTTACCTGGAACTGGCAGGTAACCCCTCACTAGCTCAGACCACAAACATCAGAAAGTATTTGTCTCAGTGCAAAGTAAGGGACATGGCACAGCTACATTCTGCTACAGGATGGCAGGAAAACACAAATAAGCACAAGTTGGTTAATCAGCTGTTAGTCTGAGCACATTGACAGCTCTGACTTCGCTGCAAGTCTCTTGACATGATATGGGCTTTTAGGGGAGTAATGGAGGAAATCACAACTGCCAGAGGCCAAACAACAGAAAGGAGTAAAAGTGTTGGCTGAATCTGCCACGTGATTCTGGAAGTTAACGCCTTCATGCTGAAGATGAAAAAATATTGATGTTGCATGTATGGTTTGTTTTAAATCTAATACATTGTTTGAACCAACGTCCCATTTATTTTTGAATCTTACCTATTGAAGTCAGTGCTGAAACTTTTCTTCCTTTGGCTTCTGCCTTGTCTGGGTGTTTATTCATTTGAATGATTCCCTTCTGTGCAGTAAGGATCCACCCAGTGTGGATATGTGACAGAATTGGGCCTCTGGTGATTTATGCTGGGCATAGGCTGTCTCCTCTCCAGAATTTACATGGGATAGATTTTTCTTTATACAAAATTAATATGAATTCTTGCAAACACAGTCTCCTTTCTTTAGCAGTTCAGTAGTTAACAATCCTTCTGCTGTCACCCTAAACACATTCTGCAGAAAAGCATGTTTTAATATTCTTTTTAATGACTGTTTCTCATGCAGTTTACCTCTTTTTATCAGTTAACATGCTGACAAGTGCACAGTTGTCTTACGCAAATTAACAAGTTCACTCTGCATGAAAAGCCAGCTCTTTGGAGGCACAGCACAGACATCGTGAATAGTGGTGAGCTGGGCTTCTGCAGATAAATGGACATTGCTTTTTCCAGCACTGCAGACAGATTTTCTCACTTTGACATAACAGCCCCATTTAATTCTCTCCTAGCTCTGAGTTCCCTTTTTGACAGCATCTGTGTGAGGCACTGTATTTGCTTCTGACTGATCGAGGCCAAATAAATCACAAATCCCACTGTCACTTCTGGGAATTCTTGAGTTTGCAGCTCTATGAACTGACAGGCCAAATCATATGTTTGTTGGAAAGAAGGCCAAGGTTTGACAAAATCAGTTTATCTGTTTCAAGAGTTTTAAAATGCAAGATATCTTCTCTTAGTATGAGCTGTTTACATTTTCAATAGAACTTAATAACTCTTTGAAAGGAGCAGGACAAGGAGAAATGGTTTTAAGTTGAAGGAGGGGGGATTTAGGTTGGATGTCAGGGGAAAGCTCTTTGCTATGAGAGCGGTGAGGTGCTGGAACAGGCTGCCCAGAGAGGCTGTGGATGCCCCATCCCTGGAGGTGTTCAAGGCCAGATGGGATGGGGCCCTGGGCAGCCTGGTCCAGTGTTAAATGTGGAGGTTGGTGGCCCTGCATGTGGCAGGGGGGTTGGAGATTCATGATCCTTGAGTTCCCTTCCAACCCAGCCCATTCTGTGTTTCTGTGATTCTATAATAATGTATATATTACATTATTCACTTTTATGTGAGGTGTATCAACTTAATTAGAAAACCAGAACACCAAGTATTACTTATTTCCTTCTCCTAGTCAAGAGCATTAGTGCTTTAAAAAGTGTTAAAATTAGCCCTTAGCTTTAACAGTATTGTTTCACATAGGCAGAGGATTTATCTGGGAATTTGGGTCTGCGTTTCCATTGTTGCTGTTACACTTCAGTCAGCAGAGCTGACTTCCAGCCCTCAGCTTATAGTTTCTTCAGTACATGAAGTTTTCCACTGTCAGAATGTGTCATACTTCGTCCAGTCAGTTGTCTTGAGTTGTTCTGGGCTATTTCTAATGGGATTGCAATTGTCAATGGTAGTGCTACAAGATGACTAATACTGTCCTGCAAGTCACGCATCCCTTTTACAGCACATGGAACCAGTGCTTTCCTTCATTCTAGAGAAGGTTTGGTCATAGCTGTATCTTTTGGTCTGAGGAGCCTGGATGGTCATTGACACTGAAAACTTTTATTAAGGTAAATGTGGTAATAGACGTGGTGAGGAGGAGATCAGTTAGGTATGATGGTAACGTGAAAGCAGTGGTTCTGTAAGTAAAAGCTGTTTACTGCAAATATTTTTTGAGATAATTTTCTTTCTGATGTTGATGTATTGAGCAGACCATCTCCATCTTTCAGGGAAGATAAAACATGCTGCTTGGCTAGTTTTCACTTCTTTATCCAAAATATTTTCATAGAACAGACTTATCACAATTCAGGAATAAGAACTTATTGAGGGGAAGGGTTTTAAAGTATTCTTGTAACATTCCTATGGTGTGATGCAATAAGTTATTTTTCCTATGACACCCTACAGGCTGTCTGTATGACAAGAAAACCATTGAAAATGAAAAAATTCACACTGTTTGATTTTATAAATGACAACTCGCTGCAAATTGGAGAGACTTCCTGGATTCAGAATCTTCCCAGTGATGACAGTGAACTAGAAGGATTTCTGAAACCAAATGAACATGTGCTGGTAAACTGGCCTGTGGCAGAAAGAAAGACAGAAAAGCATCTAGTGAAAGTTGTATACATGAGTGGTGAGTGCAGATGCAGAGCATTTGTCTGATAATAGATTTTAATCTAATTGTGAAGTTTTGCTACATAACTTTCTGTGCTTTGGTCTCTTTTTCAATTTGCTTCAGATGATCCCCAAGAGCTGGTGGAAATGATGCAAAAGATACTACAGGAGGATGAAATTACGAAAATACAGGTCCTTGGAAAAGGCAAGAGGAAGAGGATAGAAATGATATTCTCAGAAAGCGAAGACAGTGATCTGGGTAAAGAACAGGTGAGTTTCTGCCTTTTATGTGCTGGAAATTGGTATGCTCATAATGTAATGAAACAGACCAAAAATATCTTCACAGCATAATACAATGAATATGGATAGTAAAGGCAATCTTCATGTGATATCCCAGCAAAATAAGCTGCTGGAGCAGTTAGGCCCAAAGATTTTTCTCTTCTACTGTTACAAGAGGGAAGTATTATTCAAGACTTCAGGGCCTACAGGAAAGCAGGAGAGGGACTTTTTACAAGGGCAGGTAATGATATGACAAGAGCTAATGGCTTTAGATTGAAAGAGGGAAGATTTAGCTACATCTATGGAAGACATTTTTTATCAGAGAGCAGTGAGGCACTGGCACAGGCTGCCCAGAGAAGCTGTGGATGTCCCACCCCTGGAGGTGTTCAAGGCTGGGTTGGATGGGGTGTGGATAATCTGGTCTAGTGGAACCTGTACCTGCCCAGGTAAGGAGTTGGAACTGGATGATCTGTAAGTTTCCTTCCAACCAAAAGCCTTCTGTGACTTTGTGATTCTGTTTACTCCAATAGGACAGAGGTCTGACTACAGCAGAAGTAGAGACTGGGTTTGCTGAGCTTTGCTTGTGCTGAAATGTGCAGTGACGTAATGTGGGGAAAGATATATATTACTGACTTTTTATAAAGATTTATTTTTCATAAATACTGCTAATGTTATGTGCAGAATGAATAAAAGTTCAAGATATGCCATGAAATTACTGTGAAAGTCTCTGTATGACTGCAAAGATGCTATTATGCTCTTGTTCATAGCAGAAGATGGTGAAGCATATAAAAAGAAAAAAAGCATTTCAGGCATCAGCTTCTGCCAGCATCCTGAGTCAACTTGAAACGTCTTTAATTAACAAACAGGTAAACATCTCACTTTCAGCAATTTTAACCTAGTAAGCAAAAGCAAACTGAGATGTTTTAGTAAAGATAACAGTTCTGAAAGATACCGTCACAGAAAATTGGTGAATGGGGAACAGAGAATAATACCTAGCAGTTTTGTTTTATTTTAACCTTTCATTTTGCATTTTAATAGCAATGGTAATATTTATTTTCTGTGAGAAGTATTATTATAATGCACCAAGACTGCTTATACATTCTGTGTATGAAGAGAATATTTTAATTTATATTTGAAATTAGGTTTAATGTTTTATGTTGTTTTATGTATGTAGATAGCACTAAGTTTTTGGTTTTTTTTTTAATTTATTTATTGTTTTGTGTTTGTTTGTTTGTTTTTTTCAGAGAGAACCATATTCAGGAAGCAACTTTCTATGCAGTGAAAGCAGCAGTGATGATGAAGAGCCTTTATTTCAATTATCCAAGGTGGAACTGTGTGCCAAAATAAAAAGTCTCAAGAGGAAGCTGACAGACACCATGAGAGAAAACTGCCGCCTGAGGCAGTCCCTGGTGATGCTTCAAGGTACAATCAGGGGAACTTTGTGATGAAAAGGGAAACCTGGAGGTCATGAAAAGCTTGATTTATAGGAGACTGTCTGAAGGGAAATTGTGGATGCTCAAGCACTTGATGTGATCAAGGTCTACTGTCAGCACCAAAGTCTTTAATACATAGGAACATTTAATTCCAGCAGCACTGGATTTGAAAAACAAAAAACACCTGTCTTCTGTGGAGGCCATGAGATCATAATTAGAAATGGAAAAACGTAACTCCTGTTGATTGTTTTGAAGAAATCTGTCTGTATGCCATATATAACCATCAGCTTAGCTTAAATACTCCACTACCAATCCAACATACACTGATTTTTAAGCTTTTTGAGTTTTTTTTTTTGATCAACTGAGATTTTCTTTATTCTGGAATGATTTAATTTCTAATTACTTTAGAAATACCTCATTACTGAGAATCTGAACTCATTTTGGTATAAAATTTTAGTCCTTTTCCAGAATATTTTTACATCTTTTTTTTTTTTTTTTTAAATGAACCCTTAATCATGCTCATTTCTTAAGTCCCTCTTACTTCTTCTTGTCCCCTACTCTGGAGCAGCTGAAACAGGATCTGAAATTTCAATACATTAGTGGAGGAATAAGGTTGAAAGACTTGCTGCTCCCCTTGCCAGCTTCCTTACAGCATCTTTAGACTGCCTAATGTTTCTTTGTCATACAATTTTGCAAGCACTTACCAGTTTCTTTGACCATCTGACTCTATTGCATGTTATTCACCTTGACACGAATCATTCATCTCCACCTTTCTGAATGTTATTTTTAAACATTTCGTTAGTCTGACAACTTGCCTTACACATTTAGGCTCGTTTCTCTTGCATCCTGTGCAATTCTATCAGTCTTTTATGCTGTTTTCTAATAATTCAGTGATTTTTTTACCCCTTGCATCCTTTTTATTCTGCTGAACTGATTATTGATGACTAAATAAAACTTTGTATATGAAAGTAAATATTGTTCAGAGAAAGAACATGCAAAATGTATCTTCTATAAACTAAAAAAAAAAAAAAAAAGAAACAAGAAAAAAGACTATGGAGTTGTGTAACTGCTTTGAAACAAGCCAAAAAAAAAAAAAAAAAAAAACCCAGAAAAGAAATAGCAAGGTTAGTGCCCCAATGGGCATGAACTAATGATTCTTCTCAGCGGTGCAGAGAGCTGGTCTACATGTTCCAAAAGCAGAGGCCAGATCTTCCTGGATGGGGACAGCAGAACAAATGAAAGTGTTTGAGAGAATAGAAACAGAGTGCTAAAGCATCATTGCTGACCACTTGGCCTCTTTTTGCAGTATGACAGGAATCTAACCACAAAAATACATATGCTTATGTAATGAGTCTGAAAGCTTTAATTATCATTTTATCCATCACTTTTGATTTTATTTCAGTGTTGCCACAGGCAGTCACTCATTTTGAGGAACTGGTAGGGATGGCTGAAGCACTGCTCAAAGGGGGAGTGACAACGTCTACATCCAGTCTTCATTCCCATGCTGTTTGGAAAGCATCTAACAACTCTTTAGCAGATGTGTATGCAGCTATGCATAGTAACTCCAGCTCACCAGTATCTTTGAATGTGGAAGATGAGGAGCAACCAACTGAAAAACAGGTCAGGTAGAAGGAAATTTCAAGCATAAAAAAACCAAATCTCAATATCCTACAAACTTTATTGTTGCAGTATAATGAAATTAAGCGTCAGTAAATGTCATTTTATCATATCATGCTCCTTTTGTACTGCTGGCTCTTTCCATGAGAAACACTGGGCTTAGTTCAGTATGCTGGTACACTCTCAAACTGATGTCAGAGGCTTTCTGTGTCTGTAACTAAGGGCAGAATGTTGATGCATGAATTAAATACTGAGATCCAGAGGTAACTTCCTGCCTAATGTTTTGGATTCCAAAGAGGAACAGAAGTGTTTCAGAGATAGTCTTAAGAACAACACCAGCAATTTGTCAAAACTTTTAATAAGTAAATAGAGACTTTTATGTTACTACTTCTGTTCCAGACGGTGTATGACCAAGATGTTATAATTGCAATATAATCAAAAGAGTAAGGCAAAAGCAAACAAGGATCACAAAAGAGAATAAGTAGAAGAGCTTACCCTTGGGTTGAGCTCACTAGAAGATACCAAAAGAGGAGGATCTCCAGAAGGAGGAGGATCTCCTTCCCCTGTGGTAGCCAGCTCTTAAATAGGTCCAGGAGGGGTGGAGCCTGGCTCCACCCCTTCCGGCAGCACAGGTGAATTGCCTTCACCTGTGCTCCTCTGGCTGACTCAAGGCTCACCTCAGGTGATTAATCAGAGGTTCAGGCCGTGACTCAGCAGTTCCCATACAGACGGTTAAGTAGAAATACAGATATATATATATATAGTTACTGGATGAAGCTGTTCATCAGTTCTCCATGATTGTAATAAATCATAGCTGAGAGCTCTGAGCCACAGAGGCTGTAAAGAATAAAGACTCGAGAAAGAATAGTTAGTGGGGTACCAAAAAACAGTGAAGTCTGTTAAGAATTATCAAGGTATCATGCTTCAATTATATACTGCAAGATACAAAATCTGATCTCTGAAAAGATGTAAATTTTCTAAGCAACCTAGACTTGCCTTGATAGAAGTGATTCAAAATTGCACATTAGAGATTTCAAATATTTTCTGTACATCTGTGGTGTGCAGAAATGACTCTCAAAGCCTGGGACCAGATGTCACAGTTCTTAGGGCATGTCTACTCAAAGGCAGAAATATTAGTTGGGCATAGTGCCATGCTCCCAAAGCTGTACAGATTGCATGCCAGAACTGGATCACATCCAGCCTGCATGGAGTGCAAACAGAAGGATTTAGATATGTCTGAAAATGTCCTGTCTCCACTAGTGAGTAATAAGGGCTGCTTGATGAACTGCTTGCTATTATGTATAGGGATCTTTGGTCTGGTACATGCTTGCTTCTGAAAAAAGCATCTATACTTGTGTACAGCTCCAGACACTGAATGGTGTGCAAGTTTAAAAATCAACCTCAATTGCAGTTTGTGGAGGAATTACTTTTGAAACCGTGGTAAAAGAAAGAAAGTACACTTTCAAAAAATAAAAAAGACAATACTGTATATAATTTGTAGTGAACTGCAACAGTTATGTCAATGACCAATTTTGTTTTCCAGTTCAAGATTGAGAAGTGGCAGATCGCACTTTGTAACAAGAGCAAACCTCAAAAGTTTATAAACGACTTGATGCAAGCACTTTATACGCATGAATACATGGCTACACACAGCCTGACAGGTGCAAAGTCATCCTCTTCAAAGGATAAAGCAGCGAAACCAGCTATGAATCAGAATGAAGTTCAGGAAATCATAGGTGATAACTTGTTAACGTTACTCAATATGGCACTGATTTGACAGAGGGCTGTCTCTGACGGAGGGGCACTAATACTAAACAGCTGTTCTACTCAGGTTATGTGTTGTTTTACATTTCCTTCTCTGTCTCCATGTTTTTGGTTTTTGTTTAGTCCATCTGTTAGGAACTCTGTCAGTGAAATGCTAAGTAGTTGTACTTCTGTTGTGTGGATTTTGTGTTGTAAGTGACTATTCAGGAACAGTGATATTATCACTTTTTAGATTTTAAATGGCTAACGTGCAGTGGTTGAACTTGGACCGTGGCAATAACAGGTAAAGAAAATGGAAGGCAAACAGAAGACACACTCAGATCAAATTTAAAACAATGTCTGCTCTCTTCTGAAGTTAGCGAACATTAAACATTTTGACATTTTAAATACTGCTTGAGGCAAAATGAGATACTAAGTATGGGAGACAGGAACAGGGATCAAAGAAGCAAGCAAAGTTAGTTTTATGCTGTGGTTTAAGGCAGAAAATGTTTGGTGAATAGGATAGACAACCAGTTGAGATGCAAGTAGCTGATTTAAAGAAAACAGTGTTTGGGGAGCACATGAAATTTGATTTTCACTGGATACACACCTGTAGCTTAATACTTTAACAACATAGCCCAAATTCCTGTACCAGAATCCCTCCCTCATGGTAATTCCCTCAGACTATGCCAGTTCACTCAGTTCCCTTCCCAGTTTGTCTTCATTTCCTGTACCTTTGTCCAGTTTTGTTGAAGTTGGCTGGCAGTTTCAAAAGTTACCAATAGGATACTGATGATACAGTTGTGTAAGCCACTTTTCCTTGAAAATATACCCAGAAAAAGAGGCCTAAATGTAGAACAGGGAAGTAAGGAGTGTATAAAATAGTGAAAATTTAGAGGAGGTAAGATGAGACAATTTCAGAATGCAGCATAAGAAAAATGAGTAAGATTTACTGGGAAGATCTATTAGTAACTTTTCTAAAGGGAAAGAGCTGGGCAAAACTGAACAAGGAAGCAGGGAAGACAATCAGAACACTGAATACTGCATCCTGTACAGAGTTCAGTGATGAGGAGGGCCTAACTGAGAAGTCAAAGAAGTTTGTTAAGAGAAATGAGAACGTTCCTGAATTCAAACAGAAAAGTGTCAACATTAGGAGGAGGAGAAGAAAAAAAAAGTATTTCTGGAAATTCTAGGAAATGAAAGAGGAGGAAAAAAAATCAAGGGAAGTGAGGATGATGAAGGAACTTCATTAATTGCTGATGTTAAGTCCTGTTAGTGCTGCACTCAAAAAAGTTAGATGAAAAATAGAAGGGAAAATTGCGTGAAGGAGGCATTATCTGCAAATGGAAAATTAATGAACAAAACCTGTAAGATTCAAAGGAGTGAGAACTTGCATGGATAGGAATAGGTCTCTGATGAAAACAAAGCAAAGGAGAGAGAATGAGCACACTTATGCTGGAAGCTCTTGTTCCAAGCCAAGGACAAGCACAGAATTATGCAAGGCAGACAGAAAAGCAAAGTAGATGAAGTAGTGAATAAAGACAGAAAAGTAACTGGAGCTGAAGCTGAAGTACCTAGAAATTTCAAAGATGCAATAAGTGCATTTTAGATCATGGATCTGTGGCTTCCCTGTTTTGGTGGACTCATATATGCCATCTCTTTACTTATTTTGCAGGAATTACAAAACAGTTGTTTCCAAACACAGATGATGCTTTAATTAGGCGGATGATGGGACAAAAACTGAACAATTGCACCAAGAAGCCAATTTTAAGCAAAGATCTTAACTCAGGTGCTTTTCAGAAGCATGGTTTTTGGTAAGTCTTTTATATGTACTGTAGCCTGCAATGTGGAATTCCATGTACTGCCCTGTAATAACAAAAACTAAAAGCAATCTTAAATTTGTCATGAAGATACATGTTCACATATGCATTGCCAAATAGGTTAATATTTTTATAACCTTGATCAAAGAGTACACAATTCTAAACAGTGCAGCTTGGCATTACAGCACAGAAAGGTTGTTCATTCTACATACAGCACTCTGTCTACAGGAGAAGACAGAAGTAAATGCATGGCATTACTTTGATCAATGTTTGTTTCAGATTTACCATTATCTGCCCTTCTGTTCATTTTCTGTGGACTCTTCATAGACCAGGCAATGCTATTTTCATGACAACTGTTGTGCCTTAATTAACCTACAAGTAAAGATAGAGAAAATAGTTACCTGTTTAGCACCTGCTGATAAAATTACTGTAGGAGAGCTGAACTAACATTCTTTTACCAACAGAAAAGTTTAAATTATCAAGGTAAGAAATTATTAATTAACATCTTTCTTACTATAGGCATATTTAACCCTGTGAACAAGACTAATTGAAAATTGCTGAATTCATCCCTATTGTCAATCAGCTATTTGTAAAGTACAGTTTCCATATGTATGAAACATATATATCACAACAGTTGGGGTTGAGAAGGACATCTGGAGTTTGTCTGTTCAAACCCCTGCTGTTCAAAGCAGGATTACCTAGACCATATTTCTCAGAGCTGTCTTCAGCTGGGCTCTGAATATACCCAAGGACAGTGCTCCCCATCTCTCCAGGCAACCTGTGCCAGTGCTCAGTTACCCCTCACAGTGGAAAAATGTTCATAAGTTCAAGTTGTCTATAAGCCTTTGTAACATAAACCTTATTTGGTGAGAGTGTGCAGACACATCTGAAGCCCCTGTAGAGAAAAATATCCCGTATGTATTAGATTGTATGTATACATATACTATGCATACACCATCCCCATCTCCTCCCCCCCCTCCAGAAGAGTATAGATAGCTCTTCTGGGAATGATGGGAGGAACAGTATAAGAGATTAGAATCAGTCAGACAGGGAGAACAGACTTGTTCTTAGACTTTCCATGTAAAATATTGTTTCTTTATGATTTAGTTATAGTATGCATGTTTCAAATACATATTTACAACTATAGTTTACTATGAAACAGAACTGAAGATATTTGACTATGATACAAACGCCATTGTTTCAAAAGCAGCAGTGCTTTACTACTAAAATTCCTCTCTAAACCCCCTTCTTCGTGGACCACCAGATGTCTATGAATTACTATTTGAGAAATACTCAGATAATATATATTGAAAGAATGCACACACACACGTTTCCTCATCTGGAAACAGTAAACAAATGTACCAGCCTACCTAGAATACAGTTTACAGTGTTAATGTTTTTCTCCTACCCCTCATAAAACAAAGGTCCTCTGTATTTGTAACATATAGAGTGCCTTGATTCACTGTACTACTCTTCCTTCTCCTTGACCCAGAAGACAAAAATAACTGTATAGAAGGACAGGTTTAGTCTAATCTGAAAAAATTAAATGCTGAATACGTTACATTCGTATTTGTACGTTGTGAGTTCTCATGTCTTCCCATGCTGTACAGGCCCAGTATTCCTGGAGTCCTGGCAGGAGGGTCTTGAGCTAGCACAGATACAGTTCTGACTTGCTTTTTAATGCTGCCTGAAGACCTTCCAACTTAAACTTGATATCTTGAAAGAAAAATGTGTTTGTCTATTGTTTGTTCATGCCAGTATCCACTGACATCAAGGCAAATGCTGTCTGCGTAGTCTCTCTTGAATGGATGCATTTTAGAATTCGTTTGTAATGGTTTAATTTTACACCTGTTCAGAATTTCTTCACTCTAAAGGCATTTAAATACTGTGTAACCAATCATCTCCAGGGTAATGGTGGTGTTTCATTTAACTCAGGCAGCACACATTTTTTCTGTAGGAAAATCATGAAAATTTAAGTGCTCACAGTCTCAAAGTTCCGCTTTGATTCACTTCAAGAAAAAAATCCTACTGTGCAGGGCTTTAGTCACAGCTTATAAGTTAATAACAAATTGGTTATAAACTATCAAACTGGTGATACTGCAGTTATAATCTCTTCATTCCCTGTTCACCTTTCTCCAGCATACAGTTATGAATTTGGATTAAGGTCTGAGACAGGCTACTGTAGTCTCAGATCCATTAGGCTGAGGTGAAATAGTGAAAAAGGGAATGTGTGAGTGCAGAAAACTAGTTAACTAGCTAATAAACTCTGCTGCTTGGAAACTAAGAACAGTAGTAATTGCACATTTAATGTTAACGTTGCACACTCAGTTATAAACTGTCTTGACAGCGGTTCAGCAGCTGCTCCTCAGGGCATCATCCCTTTGGCTGCTCCTCCCAGCACGCAAGACCAGCAGGATGATGATACAACAGCTGCTAATGCACAAATTCAGCAGAGCCACAGCCGTCTGACTCCTCCACCTTTCAGCACCCAAGGTGAGCAGGAGCGTTTCAAACCTACTTCTGAGGTGGAGTCTCATCTCTCCAGAAGCTCACAAGCGCCCTCTGCCAACCAGGGTTGTGGACAGGATCTCAGGAATTCAGACAAGGAATAACAGAATGTACTTCATGCCAGCTCAAGTTCCCGTTGGAGATGAAGGAATAATATAAAATTAAAATGAAATAATATTTATTGGGCCTAGCACCATTGGACAGAGATACTGCAAGCAGAGTAGAAGCTTGGGAGCAATTCCTCAAGTGAAAATCCCTCAGCTTAAGAAAAATGAAGGCATATTAATATATTTGGCTTTACGATATAATTAAATAAATGCATGTTATACTGTAATTCAAAGATATATAAACTTGATCCAAAGAATACAGGAACTGCTCCCCTTAGTTAGAAAAACACCACATTATTTAAAGTAACACCAACAGAATTTGTAAGAGGATCCTTAATGCTCTTGCTTTCACCTTAACAGCTGATGGAAAACTGCTTTACTGACCAGAAAAAGCTATTATATGTTGATACAAAAGAGATACAGAAGTATGAAAGGAAATTTATATTTGAGGATGCTGTTAACTTAGAAGGAACAAAAAATCTCAGGGCAGTGAAACTATACTTCCTGAGATGTCTGCAAGAAGGAAACAGCTCATTTTTAACCTCCAGAAGTTGGAAAGGCAATGAAAGAAACCTCATTCTTTCTTAGCTCAGGAAAGAATGCCCTAGGATATGTTGCTGGGTTGTGGAGGCCATGGCTTCCCTCATAGGCTTTTTGATGCTGATGCTTTGGTTTGGCAGCTCTCATTCTCTCTTCCCTGACCTCTGGGTCCAGAAGATAAAGGTAACAGTTTCCCCAGAAAATGGAAGTTTCCCAGCCAGAAAATCGAAGATAATCTCTGGAAAGCAGCTAGTAAAGGACAGAGCTGCCAGCTCTTTCTCTGTATGTCTAGATTTTTGGTACACTGCTGTTCGATTAAAGAGTAGGTGGAGAAGTAGAGCTTGTTCCTCATGGGGTTGGCACCAGAGGTCCTCCATCAGCTGGGTAGTTCCTCTTGAGCTCTGACATCATTGTCCCAGGGGCAAAACTAGCAGTAATGCACCCTGTAATTGCCTGAGAAGGATGAGGAATGGTACATTTTTTTTTCCTCTGTGGACTGATTCCAGTTCTGTAGTGTGGGAAAGAGAGAACACTTGGATTATAACTTTCACACTTGAGGGTATTTCTTCCAGAACAGAGAGTACTAACAGTTAAATCTATTTCATGCTTGGCAAACATGCAATTAATGAATCAAGATGGAAAAAACCAAAAACAAAACAAAAATAACATGACTAACTTCATCTGAGGACTTCTAGAACTAGAAACAGTAGAAGGGTGAATGCAAGGAAAAAATCAGAAGGTAAGGTTAGCAACTGAATACCTCTGAAGAGAAGTGCTGCAAACCTTCCTTTATCAGAGCAATGCACTAATAAAATACACTGTAGAGAAGACTTCTGGATGGGATGGGGGATAACTAAAGTGATCTACTAGCCTCATTCAGCTCTCATGTCTATCAATTCCTTGTAAATAGGATTAAGATGAAAGCAAATAGGACAATGTGATGTAAATTCCACCTCACTGCCATGCATCAAATGTAACTGGAGGATGTTTGCTATTATATATATTTTGTATATGTATCTGTATATACAGCATACAAGAATGTATATAATTAATCATATTTTTGAAGCAGATTTCTATCAAATAAAATGAAACATTACTATGTCTTAGTTCTTTTTTTAAAACCAAAGGTAAACAGGGAGGATGATGTGAAGAGTCCCTTCCTCTCTCTTCCCTGAAGTATATGACTGACGTTATCCTATGGCATAAAGCAAGATAAACAGCTTCTACCCAAGTAACAGAAAAGCTGCCCTTGGTACAAGATGACTGCAAAGGAAGAAAGTATGACTGGTCTTCCAAAATAGCATGGACAAACTCAGAGGACACAAAATTGAAGACTAAATAATTACAGCTTAGAAACTTCAGAAGTAACAGAAGGAGAGGAGAAAGCAGAACAGTTGAATACTACTCCCAAATTTTGCAGTAAAATCAAAACTAATTGGCAATGTGTAAATATGTCATGTCACACAGTGTAAAATTCTGATATGCAGAGAGAGGACACATTATGTTCATTACTCAGCACCAGAGAAGGCTGACAGCCACTGCAGGAAAGCATAAGGCAATACGACTGCATAGCATTTAGAGAGACGACTGGAGATTCGGTACTGAAAATAAGCAACGCTAAAAACAGTCACTTGAACTATTTGCTTTTATTACTGCGTTTGAGATTGAATTTGAAGATTACAGTAGAAAAGCGGACCACTGTAGGTTATAAACTGCTTATTAAGAGCACCTACCTCTTCTCTAAAGAGGGAAGATACTACAATATGCAAAGAATTGAGTAAAAACCTCACTGTAAAAATACAGTAGAGAATAAGCAGTGTTCTCAGTGGTTTTCATACATGTCAAGTTCATATCCTCTCCTATTACGGTATATAGGTAGGATTCAGAAAAAATACATCAGTATTTTACAGATGAAGAGTAAATGGCACTATGCAGTGTTAATGCTGGAGGGAAATCAGTGGTTAAAAAGACAATGTTCCATTTTAAGGACCAAGGAAAGAAACACAGAAATCCAAATGTTTAAATGCTATGAAAGAAAGCGATGATTTTCAAAGCATATAATAAGTATGTGGTTGCCAGAGAATATTACTGAATCTCTGAGAAGGTCTGCTCAGGAACAGCTTCCACATCCTCTGTAATCCCAACTTTGTTTGGAGGTTTGGATGTGGGGATTTTAGCTCAGCAGCAGCAGACCAGGAGTAGCTGCACTTCCCTAGGTTTGTCTCATGCCACCTTGGGTAATCTGCTAAAAAAACTGGGTACTCATGCAAGTGAGACAGTGAACCTGCCTTGAAGATGGCCCAACAGCCAAGAGCTTCAGCAGCCTGCCTACATCCTTCCTCTTCTGCATGAAAAAAGTCTGCATAACAATTGTCAAAAGCTCACCCAAACCAGGAAGCCTGTGCTTTCCCAATAATTACCTCAAATGCTGAAGGTTTTGAATCAGAGTTTTGTCGGCATGCTGTAAAAGCTGACATTATTGCATGTATCAGTTCTCACACTATTCCTTTTTTCCTTAGTTCTTTGCATACCTAGAGGATGTTTGGATGGGTCTGCAAAAGCAAGTACGCTTCATTCACATGAGCTACTGCTGAAAAGTTCATATTCAAATGAGAGTCATAAAAAAGTTCATATTCAAATTGTCATAGTTTGAAAAAATTCTGCCACCTTGTTCTTCTAGTAACTCACTATTACTGCACTTTGCAATATCTATATCATAAATAAGAAGTGATTAAGTGCAAATGCAAGCTACAAATAAAGTGGCTGCTACCAACTACCTATTAGCACACTGAAGTTAGAAATGCAATATATGAAAGTCAACAAGACTTTAATGTTTGAAGTAGTAGTCATTTTTCTGTTACTTTAATAATGAAATAAAAGTCACCAAATCAGTGTTTATATAGCCCTACAACAGTTATTAAGTTGTTAAATTTCTTAACTAGTATGTTATAATCAGCAGTCAAACAAGAACAGAGAAAAACACATGGATCATTTCTTATAGGGACGGATAATTTTGAGTTCACAGAACAGCAAATCCAGAAATAGACAGAAAAAAATAAGTCACTAATAATAGCCATTGTGTGAATTTAGAAATACAGATTCATAGAATCTTTTGAATTGAAAGGGACCTTTAAAGGTCATCTAGTCAAACTCCCATGCAGTGAACAGGGACACCTACAGCTAGATCAGGTTGCTCGGAGCCTCGTTCAGCCTGACCTTGAATGTCTTCAGGAATGGGGCATTTCTGGGCAACCTGTTTCAGTCCCTCACCACCCTTGATCATAAATACTTCTTCCTTAATCCAATCTAAATCTCCCTTTTTTTAGTTTGAAAACATTTCCCCTTGTCCTATCACAACATACTCTGCTAAAGAGTCTGTTGCCTTCCCTCTTACAGGCCACCTTTAGATACTGAAAGGCTGCTATCAGATCTCCCTGGAGCCTTCTCCAGGCTGAACAGCCCCCACTCCATCAGCCTGTACTCACAGGAGAACTGTTCCATCCCTTGGATCATTTTTGTGGCCCTCCTCTGGATACGCTCCAACAGGCCCATGTACCTCCTGTGCTGAGGATTCCACATCTGGATGCAGCACTCCAGGTGAGTCCTCACCAGTGCAGAGTAGAAGGGCAGGATCACCTCCCACAGCCTGCTGGCCACACTTCTTTTGATGCAGCCCAGGATACAATTGGCTTTCTGGGCTGCAAGAGCACATTGCTGGCCCATTTCCAGCTTCACATCCACCAGTATCCCCAGGTCCTTTTCAGCAGAGCTGTGCACCATCCTTACATCCCTCAGCTTGTACTGATAGCAAGGGTTGCTACAACCCAGTTGCAGGATCCCGCACTTAGATTTATTGAACCTCATGAGGCTCTCCTGGGCTCACTGCTTTGCACCTGTCTAGGTCTCTATGAGTGGCATCCCATCCCTCGGATGTGTCAACCACACCATACATGCTGATATCATCTGCAAACTTGCTGAGGGTGCACTCAATCCCACTGTTGTCATTTGTGAAGACATGAAAGAGCACTGGTCCCAGTACTGACCCCTGAAGGACACCACTCGTCACCAGTGTCCATCGAGACATTGAGCCACTGACCACCACTCTCTGGGTATGCTCTTACAACCAGTTCCTCATCCATTATGCAGTCTACCCATCAAATCCGTATCTTTCCAACTTCAAGAGAAGGATGTTATGAGTTACTGAACCCAAGGCCACTTGAGTTCAAAGGCCACAATGAGTCACTGAACCCAGTGAGGTTCGGATAGATTACATCAGTATCTCTTCCCTTGTCCACTGGCAGAGTCACACCATCATAAAAAGCAACAAGTTTGGTCAGATAGGACCTGCTGTTGGTGAAGCCATGCTGGTTACCCCATATCACCTCACTTTCTTCCATGTTCATTAGCATAGCTTCCAGGAGGATCTGCTCCATGATCTTCCTCAGCACCAAAGTGAGGATAATAGATCGGTAGTTCCCTGAGTCATCTTTTCTATCCTTCTTAAAAATGGGTGAGATTTTGCCTTTCTTCCAGTCCTCATGACTTCACCTGACCACCGTGACTTTTCAAATATCATCGAGAGTGGCTTGGCAACAACATCAGCCAAATCCCTCGGGTCTTTGGGATACATCTCATTGGGACCCACAGACTAAATGGATGTTCAGGTTCCTCAGGCAGTTGTGAACCCGATATTCACTTACAGCAGGAGACTGCTCCCCCAGTTCCTACCTTCTGAACCACTTATTCAAGGGTAAAGCAGTTGCTTGTGTGTAGAGCAGATGCTACTGAAAATTGAGGCAAAAAAAGGTGATGAAAACCTCAGCCTTCTCTTTGTTTGTTATGACTAGTCTGTGTTGCTCACTAGGGATAGTGTGCCCTCACAGACTCCTCTTTTCACTGTGTCCATCTCCTGTCATAAAGCTGTGCTTCCAATGATACATGAAATGAAGCTTCAACGTTGTAGTAACTTTTTAAAAGTGCACTACATTAATGCTGACATTAAGTACCATGTGATGTATTTCTTCACAAAGCTCCCAGAACACCAAGAATTAATATACTACCCTGAATTCTTTCCCTCCTCTGTAGACAGAATTTAACAAGTACTGGAAGAGTTTCTGTGTGCAGCGAGTTCTGTAGACATGCAAGGTGATATTGCTCATGTCAGTTTACTCCAAGGCAGTGCATTGAACAAAGGTGATTCATACCAATTTTTACTCTGGGTAGCTCAAAGTAACCATAGAGTGAAGTAGGAAAGGAAGAGCAGATACAGTTGCACACCTAAAAGGCAGAAAGCAAGTTGAAAAGAACACAAACGAGTTTTAGCTGCATTTATTTGGGGATATCATTGTCAAATTACAGGTGTTCAAAAACCAGCATTTAATTCATTAATGCTCACAAGGGCATTTCTGGTCATTTTTCAGCAGCAGAGCCTACCACAGACATCCCAAAAGCCTACAGGCTGCTCCCACCCCAGCTGCTGCAGTGCATCCTGACAAACCCAGCCAAGGCACTCAGATTTTAAAGGAAAGGTTACAGAGCACCAGAGCGACATACTTCATTTGTGAGCCTTTCTGCATGCCCCAGAAGGTCTAGTTTTTAGGCTTTCACCAGGTATGCCTTCTGGACAAGCGCACAGAGCTCCAAGCACACCAGCACTTCAGGAAGCTCCCAGAGGTGCGGTGTGCAGATTAACACCGCTTCCACCACTTACCATAACTGGACTGACATACGGCATCTCCAGGACTGGAGGAGGGAGCCCCAGAGCCCTGCCATGCCAGCGCTTCATCCTCTCAGAATCACAAAATCACAGAATCACAGAATGGACAGAGTTGGAAGGGACACAAAGGGTCATGAAGCTCCAACCCCCCTGCCACATGCAGGGCCACCAACCTCCACATTTAATACCAGACCAGGCTGCCCAGGGCCCCATCCAACCTGGCCTTGAACACCTCCAGGGACGGGGCATCCACAACCTCTCTGGGCAGCCTGTTCCAGCACCTCACCACTCTCTTTGTAAAGATCTCCTCCCTGACATCCAACCTAAATCTTCCCTCCCTCAACTTCAAACCATTTCCCCTTGTCCTGCAGTTATCTACC